ATTATTATTATTATTATTATTATTATTATTATTATTATTATTATTATTAAAGACAGGGTCTTACTCTATAGTTCAGGCTGTCCTGAAGCTCACTGTGTAGTCCAGGCTGACCTGGAACCCATGGTACTGTGCCTGTCACAGCCTTCCAAGTGCTGGGATCACAGGCATGAGCCACCACATGCACTCTGTGGCCTTGTACTTTCCCAACCTCGTGTCTTCCATTCTTCTTTTTTGCTCCCTGAGTACATAGAGCTTGTTCCAATGCCACGTGTTTTCTTTCTGACCTTGACATTCCTTCCTTCGTAAAGAATATTCTCCCCAGGTGGTCAGATTACTGATGGCTCCATCATAGGTTATCTTGGCCTTCCCAGTAACTCACCCTTCTCGCCTTCCCTCCCCACTTTAAAGTTGGCCACCACACCCTATATTATTTTCGTTCATAACATTGGTATCAATCACCCCCAGGAACTCAGCTCCATAAAAACTGAAGCTCTGTCCTTTATTGGCCACTGAATCCTCAATCCCTAGAACGGCACCTGGCATATAGGAGATGCTCAAGTAATATTTATTAAAGGACGTGGCAGGGTTGTAGCCAGTAGCAGAACGTTTGCCCAAAGTGTGCGAAGCCTTTTTTCATTTTTGCAGTATCAGTTAGTTTTTCTTTTGATTATACGTCTTCTTTTGTCATTTTATCTCTTCAACCTAACCCTGCAATAAAAAAAAAATAACGAATAGGGCTGATGGGAAGTTCCGGTGAACAAAGCAACACAGCAGGTATTTGTCGATGACCTTCTACTCTGTCTGTGGAGAGAATGCAGAGCAGTGTAGAAGAGACCATAAAAAAAAAAGACAAATTCAGTATATTTCAGTAAGCACTGTGTTGGGTGATAAGAACACGAGGTTTTCAGGCATATTGGAGAGAGGGTGGTGATGTCTTGGCTAAGAGTTGCAAACTATGCAGAATTTAGTCTAAAGAGAGGAAGGAGAGGTGGGAACAGTGAGCAGGCCCCAATCGAAAAGAATATATGCAGTGTTCTGAAGTGAGGGCAGGTCGTTCATGAGCTCGGATCTCAGTAGAATACAGACATGCATTACGAAATCCATCCATGCTGGGTAAGGACAAGGCAAGGGGCCAGTGCATTGTCCACGTCCTTCCCAGGAAGATATCTCACTGGTGTTCCTGTTGCTCCGTCTCGAAACGGGGCCATGTGCAGTCATGGCAGTCATGAGTCAAGAGTAAGGACCCTCTGTTGATTGTTTAAAAACTGCCTTACGCCGAGACTATTTAATCATCACTTCAGCCCAGAGATGGCCACCGCTGTCTTCCCTGTTTCACAGCTTGAGATGAAGGCTTCCAGAAGTTAGGCTTTCTCAACTTAAGATGGCCAGGAAGCCACAGATGTTGAGCACCGAGCACCAACATCTTGGGGCATAAAGCATTAAAACTACTACAGAAATCCTATATTTTTGAATACCTGGAAGTTTTATTATTGGAATAGTTTTCAGAACTGTAAACATAAAAACAAGCGCACGTATCTCAGTTGGCTTCTTAAAAAAAAAAACTTTATATAGAAATCAGTGACTATTCTCTTTATCCCTTCCACCCTAAAAATGAATTTTCTGAAATGTCTTCAACATCAATGTCTATGCCATGTTTTAGGAAGGAAAAGAAATGTCTTTAAAGGCATGCGCCACCAGACCAGCCTGGTCTACAAGAGCTAGTTCCAGGACAGGCTCCAAAGCCACGGAGAAACCCTGTCTTGAAAAACCAAAAAAAAAAAAAAAAAAAAAAAAGAAATGTCTTTAAAAATAATGATAGCCAGGCGGTGGTGGCGCACGCCTTTAATCCCAGCACTCGGGTGGCAGAGGCAGGCTGATCTCTGTGAGTTCGACGCCAGCCTGGTCTACAAGAGCAAGTTCCAGAACAGGCTCCAAAAGCTACAGAGAAACCCTGTCTCGAAAAAAACTAAAATTAAATAAATAAATAAATAAATAAATAAATAAATAAATAATGATATCAGTTGCATCTTCACAAGCACAGGCTGTGTGTGAGGGGCTCTGCCTTCTTGACATTGTTCTTCTTGACTCTCAGAGAGCAAGAAAGATTACGTGGAGATAAGATAAGGGAAGTGAACTCGAGAAATCGTGTCGGCGTCTCAGTCACATTCCTGCTAAGAGGCAAAGCCATATTTTGAACTCAGATCTCCCTAATTTGAAAGCCAATGCTCATTTCTTTGTTAACTCCAGATCTAAGCCAATGCAAACACACAGAGCCAATGACAAAGTCACATTATGACATCTCAAATAATATCATCCCTCAAACAGAAAGGCATCCACTTTCTAAGCAGTGATAGTTTTCACCCTCGCACTTCAGCGTATTCAGAAACTCAAACAGAGCTAAAGAAGTCATCGATAACAAATGGGTAATTACAATAACTGATTTATGAATATTGGTAATAATCAGGATATTAAATAAGCTTTCAAATAACAGCACTTTGAGCCTTATTTCACGCATATGTTCTTCCACAGAGTTCGTGCACAAATGAAAATTTTCAACTAACATATTAGTTTTGCTTTCATGGTCTGTTTTGCAAATTTAAAACTATTCTAGTAAGTGAACAGATCATAATTTGCTTAACTAAGTCTTACTGAAAATAGCTTCAGTTTTCATATTAGCATCTGTATCATAATGACCGTCTTCCTAGACTAAGGTGATGGTTTTCATCCAACACCCATGAATTTTAAATTCATCACCTTTGAAGGCACAACAGACTTCACTGAAGTAACTCCAGTCGGAACCATCCCAGGCTCTGGCAAGAGCATGCAAAACTATCTCACTGCATGCCATCTTTCCAGCCCTCTCTAGCTGCCCTCTCAAGGTGACTGCCTACTTTGCCAGTTGAGAGGTTAGTCTGGGATAGCACTGTGAAAGTTTGGAGCCAGGGAAGTTCCTAGGAAGCCTTCAGTGTAATGTAAGTGAGGGACTACTGCGCCAGGCAGAAGAGACGGATGGACTGAAATAGGCTTTGTCGTGAATCTTAGGGTATTATTTTCACCCCCATCTTTCCAGGACAAGGCCAATACCTAGTAGCAAAGAGTGGCAAGTAGTCTTCATTCAGTCGCCACAGCTGAGGGTGGGTGGAGCTAAAGGGTGGAATGCTAAGCGAGTCAAGGTCAATGGGAAGGTTGTAGCATCTCTTCAGGATGGGGGAGAATTGAGTGACAAGTTTGTTATCCCTCTAGTCAGTGGCTGAATCAATACAGGACATCACCAGTACAAATCACACTGTACTATTTTCTTTTCTTTTTTATTTTATTTTTTATAGATTTTAAAAAAAAAATTTATTCATGTGAGTGCTTTGCCTGCATGTATGTCTGTACCCACACGTATGCTTAGGGCCTCCATGTGAGTGCTGGGGTTCAAACCCATGTCCTTTGAAAGAACAAGTACTCTCTTAACCAGTGAGCCAACTTTCCAGCCTTGTGTATTTCCTAAAGGTTTTGAAAGTATTCATTTTCAAAAGGTGATATATTAATAATTTACGAACTAAGACTGCGCTCAGGCATGCTAAATCCCCTGTCAAGCATTACATTCTGCTGCCTCTCGTGTCTTCTCTTAACCAGGCCTAATTTAAGACACTCTTAAAAACCTAGACTTGGGGCTGGAGAGATGGCTCAGCCGTTAAGAGCACACTGCTCTTGCAGAGGGTGCAGTTTTATTCTCTGTGCCCACACTGGGAGCTGATGCCTCTGGCCTCCTTGAGCACTGGCACTTGTGGACAGACTCTACACAGACATACAAATGATTCTTTTTAATTTTAAATCTAAAACAAAAAATAAATACAAATCCCCACAGCTTAGACGCAACACGAAGCCCAGATTATCCTAGCTTTCAAGAACAGACTGAGCCCAGCAACAACACTAAATTTAAACAGCTTGTCTCTAGTCAAACAACATAAACATCATTTCTTTTCATGAGCCGTAGATACCAAGGCTATATTTTCAGCAATTAAATGGGACCATGTTGTCAACTTATCCTCAAGTTAACAAAATTGGCAAGAATGAGGAAAGGATGCAGAACAGATCTGCACATCATCACCACAGAGACCTCTGCAACTCTTAGCAAAATCAGGCTCAGACAGGTCGATGAGTGGGGAAAGGTGCTTGCAGTCAAGCCCAAGTGTGCTTCCTCGGCCTACATAGTGGAAGAAAGACCCTCCATGGCACATGTAGGCATTACACAACAATATATAAGTGAATAAATAAATAAATAAATAAATTTATAAATTAGGTTAGACTTTTTTTTTTTCACATTTTAGGCAAGTATTCTGCCTCTGAGTTCCATCCCCAGCCCTGACACTGAATAAAATTGCTATGGTTGGGCTGGAGAGATGGCTCAGTGGTTAAGAGCACTGACTGCTGTGCCGGAGGTCCTGAGTTAAATTCCTAGCAACCACATGATGGCTCACACCCAGAACACTATATACATAATAAATAAATTTAAAAAAATGCTATGGTTATCTCACAGCTTGTACAATAGAATTTAATATAAAGAAAGTACTGAAATAGATATCCCCAGGCATTTTTTGTTTGTTTGTTTTGGATTTTTAAGACAGGGTCTCTCTATATAGCACTGGTTGTCTTGGAACTGACTATGTAAATCAGGCTGGCCCAGAACTCATAGAAATCCACCTGCCTCTTCCTCCCAAGTGCTGAGATTAAATAAGGCATGTGCCAACACTGCCCAGCAGGATTTTACTTTTAATTTCAGGGAGACTTCATTGAGTTTCATTTCCTTTTACAATGAGGCAGCATTGTTAAGTCACTTTTGTGGAAGTGTCAACATTAGGTGATTTAAGCATTTCTTACGTAATTTAAGTCTGTGCTATAGTAAATACAGGCTTGTTATTCTGTGGCAGTGGTCTAAATTTTATTATTTATTTATTTATTTATTTATTTATTTATTTATTTATTTTGCTATGCCCATCACTTTGTTACAGCATGCAAGACGACAGCATAGAAGCATCTACTTCCATCTCTCAGCTTCTCAGAGAAAGCTATCTGGCTGAAACCAGACATCGCGGGGACAACGAGCGGAGTCGAGCGGAACCTTCCTCCAACCCTTTCCACTTCGGCAGTCCTTCCGGGGCTGCCGAAGGAGGAGGGCAAGAGGACCTTCCGGATCTGTCGGCCTTCCTAAGCCAAGAAGAGCTGGATGAGAGTGTCAATCTGGCGAGGCTGGCCATCAACCACGACCCTCTGGAGAGAGTGGATGAAGCTCAAGCTAGGAAACGTCTGTCTTCTGACAAGACGAAGCTTTCGCCCAAACCAAGCTTCGAACCTGCCTTCTGCCAGGATAGCCCTCGAGGTCCTGGCAGCTCAAAAGACAGTCCCCCGGAGACAAAGAGGCCACAGTACAGTTCTGAAAGCCAGTCCAAGAAAGTCTTCCTAAACAAGGCCGCCGACTTCATCGAAGAGCTGTCCTCCCTTTTCAAGGCTCACAGCTCCAAGAGGATCAGACCTCGGGCCTGCAAAAACCACAAGAGCAAGCAGGAATCTCAAAACAAAGTCCTGCAGGAAAACAGCCCCGCTTTCTCAGATCTGACAGAGAGGCGGGAAAGAGCATCGGTCCCCATCCCTATCCCTGCAGACAGCAGGGACAACGAGCTGAACCACGCGATAGAACAGCGGGAAGCTAAGAGGCGGGAGGCTGAGTTGGCTGCGGGTGAGGCTGCTGCTGGAGACAGCACCCCGGGGTCTTCACCTTCATCCCTGTACTACGAAGAACCTCTGGGGCAGCCTCCCCGCTTCACACAAAAGTTACGGAGCCGAGAAGTTCCGGAAGGAAGCCGAGTCCAGTTGGATTGCATAGTGGTAGGAATTCCACCGCCCCAAGTAAGGTAAAAACAGCCAGAGAGTGGTGTTTGGCAATGCTATCCGTCTACCATGATTGTTGTTCCAGAAAACCCCGTACTTCCTTTGAGAAAGGAGCTAGGATGAAAGGCCGGAGCCTAAAATTAGCTCCGTAGGTAACTCAAATCGTTCTAGGGCTAAGGCTGTAGCTTGGTGCTGGTAGAGTAGTTGCCCAGGATGTGTGAAGGCCTAAGTTCAACCCCTCACCCCGGCATTGCAAGAAAATAAAATTCTTGGGCTCGTAGAGTTCCTGTCTAGCTAGCATGCTGGAAGCCCTGGATTCCCTCAGCACCACAGAGAACCAAATACACAGGCACAAGCTTGAATTCCAGCACTCAGGAGGGAAAGGCCAGGGGATCAGTCGCCCAAGGCCATCTTTGACTACTGGAGAGTTCAAGACCATCTGGTCTACATAAGACCCAGTCTTAATTTTTTTCTTCTAAAAGTCATATATTTTTAAGATTTTTTTTTAAAAAAAGAATATGTATATTGTATATATGTGTGGATGCTGATGGAAGTCAGGTTGGAGTTCCAGGCCAATTTCAGTTATATAGTGAGTTCAGGGCCAGCTTGGACCACTTGTGACCTAGTCTCAAAAAATTAAAAACAAATGGAGGCAGGTAATAATATAATGCTTGATAGCTTTTGAGATAGAATATAACATGGCGGGTAAGGTCAGTTTTAAAAAATTCATTCTATGTATGTAAAACACTGTTCTCCCTAATTCTCAAGTCTTTCCCTAATATAGGTAATGAATACAGGGAATGTTTATCGTGTATGCATGTGCCTGTGTGTGTGTGTGTGTCTGTGTGTGTGTGTGTGTGCGTGTGCATGAGCATTAGCCGGTCCCTGAGTTTCTGGGAGCTCTCTGCCTTCACCTCCCATCTCTCCAACTGGAAGAGCAGGCGGATACTACCACACCTGGCTTTCACATGGGTTCTGGGATCCCAGATTTGATTCTGATGCTTGCAAGCCAAGCGCTTTACCCACTGCGCCGTCTTCCTGGCCCTAAAGACACCTCTGCGGTGTCTACCACAGTTAGCTGTTCTGGGAGGCCCCCAGGCAGAAGCCTCAGGGCCTACAGATGCTGTATCTAATTTGATGTCCTAATGCTATTCTATACTTTTAAGTTTTCCCTTCTATGTTTGTGGTCCCACGGAACCTGGAAGCAACCTTAGTTTCCCAGGTGATATTTGCTGTCTATCTTATTTCCATATGGTAACATGTGAATGGTGCAGCTAAAATACATTGTTTTGTGGAGCTTTGCTAGTATTCAAAGTCCTTGAGGAGTTACTATACTTCCCTAATCACCTATTCACTGCTAGAATATGATGTCATTACGACATGACCTTCGTTTTCTGTAAGTCAACAGTATTTCATCTTTTTCTTTCATAATACTCATACTATAAAGCTATCATATTAATATGAATAATTGTATTTTATATGTGCATACTAATGGAAAGTATTCTGACCCAAAGACGTATTCATATATCAAATTTTGCTTTCAGGGGTAACCTAAAGCATATCCAATATTATCTTCACAGTGAAGACCGTTTACCATCAGGTTACCCCAGCTGACCTTCAAACAGGGTTTGGATGGTTTTAAGTCTGGAGCATCAAGCATCGCTTCTGACCCCTGCTAGTCACTCAGGAATGTTGAACCCATGAATAAAGAGTGGGCAGGGAAGACTTGACTTTCAGGGACCTTCTCATAGCTAATTACCGGAGAAGTCCCTCGGAGTGTGCAGGGCATTGAGAGCCCGGAGGAGAAGGTGCAAAGTGAAGCTGGCTCCTGGTGTTGTTCCCTGCACTTGGCGTGAGCAGTTGATGCTGGTTCTCATTATCTGAGAGGGTATAAGGCAGAGGACACCATAAAAACAAACAAACAAACAAGCAAAACCAGAAATGCAAAAGATTCATGTTACGTTTAGATCATGAGCTAGACAATTGGCTAAAGATACCAGAAAGAGTGGGGATGGTGGTGTCCGATCTTCTCCTTTAAATGTGACTGATGACATGGCCTGGGACTCTGGTCAGTAAGCTTGTGAGCTGTCATTCCAGCAGCATGTGTCATGGCTTCTGGTCAGCCTAAGTAAGCTGATGAGCCCTTAGAACACAGCACACACACAGTTTTGGGTGGTCCAGTCCAACTCACTGGTTTTGGGGCACAGACTGATTTTTTAAGAAAAAAGCCAAATCAAACCGAGAGAGAGAGAGAGAGAGAGAGAGAGAGAGAGAGAGAGAGAGAGAGAACACCAAATCTCTCAAGGAGTCATGCTTCCCATTCCTCAATGGTGACAATCTCGGCTACAAGAACCAGTTCAGTACACCACCCCAAAAACTCAACCAGGATTATAAAGTACCCCTTTCCCCCCATCAAAGTGATCCAACAGTCACCGAAAACTGGTCAATCAGCCAGGCAAAACAAAAAATTTACAGATCTATACATTTCCAAGCTCACCTCTCTAGGTGGCTTAGTGGATTGAAATGGAAATATGAGGATTGGAGTTCAGATCTCAGAACCCACATAAGTGCAAGGTTCCCAGGTGATAGCCAGACCAGACAGAACGGCTGAGCTCCAGGTTCGGGAGAGACCTTGCCTCGGTAAATAATGTGGAGAGCAATGGAGGGAGATGTCCGATGTGGCTTCAACCTCCACCTGACCCCATGCATGACTAGGAACTCACACATATATGAACACCCGTACACACATGCTCACACACAAAGTGAAAGTCACATATGTGGCTTCTATGAAGCAATACTAATTTTACCTGGGAAGAATTTCTCTAACTGATAGAGTTCTTGTCTATACCAACAATGGTTCTGAGGTCAGGAAACCTAATAGGAATTCATAATACTTGTTTCTGAATGAACTTGTACTGAATTTCCAGACTAAAATTGTACGAAGAAAACTGCAATTTTCCTGGCTGGCTATCAGTCAGGAAAGCAATATTTGTTCAGTTTTTAATTTGTTCGGCACCATTGTCAATGCCCACATACAAATGATATAAATGTGTCCCTGTGCCTTCCAGGAGGTTGAGATCCAATTGAAGAAGTCATCCTAATGTCTGTAGTAATAACCCGTATGTTCTCAGGCTGGGAAATAGGACAGTCGAAGGCTGTGGAGACGTAGAGGCATTCTGCTTGAACTTTGAAGACCAAACAGCAGGTAGTTAGAAATGGACTCATTTGTTATTCAACAAACACCTGTTGAGTCACTAAAGTTGTTCCCCAAGAGTTCAAAGCAGGGAGCTGTTGAAGGTTAGTGACCTTGTTTTAAAACCACATCTAAACCATTCTGAGAGGGCAACTCATAATCTAGCACAGAAATCAGACGTGTAATCAGAACACAGCAGCTCGTATAATAAGGGGTATACAAAGAGTAGGGCTGGGGACGCCTGAGTTTGGTTCCCAGCCCCACATAAAACCAGACTTGGTGACACAGGCCTGTAATTAGCACTTGGAAGGTAGAGGCAGGAGGATCAGAAGTTCAAGGTCATCCTAGGCTATGTAGCAAACTTGAGACTGGGCTAGGCTCCAGTGAGACCCTGCCTTCAAAAATAAAAAAAAAAAAAATTTAAAAGGAGTATAGGATGCAGTTGCGGCTCAAAGGAGACATTGCTATTCCCGGAGTACAGGATAAAGCAAGCACTGGACCCTGGAGTAGGAGCAGGGTAGAAAAATCAAGTGCTCTCAAGGAATCATAAGCCCTTGTCTGGTGGAACACGGAGGGCAGAGGCTCCACCGAAGAGGTGGGTGGAAAAGATGAATCTGTGTATAGATGCAGGCGTTGTAATATTTTCATGGACAGGAAGGAGACCGACCTAAGCAGAAAGGGGAACAGAGTCAGGTGATCTTGAAGTGCCTGGAAAGCAAAGTCCAGAACAGACTGTCAACCATCTAAGGTTGTGTGAGCCAGGTGAAAGGGGGTGTTTCCGGAGGAAGCTTCTGGAAGGCTGGGTTAGGTCAGGAAAGGGTGGAGTGCTGAGTCCTCTGGGGAAGTCGTGGACGGTGTCCCAGGCCTCAGATACTCCAGTGGGGCAGGGTGCATGCCAGGAGAAGGAGAAAGGACGGCAGAGACCAGTGTTTGGAGGAGGCTGGACTCCATGCCTGACTAGACGGGAGGGAGGAGTTCAGAAACTATTCCGTTTGAAAATGCTGGGCGGCGATGTGCTGGGGAGGCAGCGAGTGATCCTGGGAGCTCCCTGGTGGATAGAAGGATGCTTATGCTCCAGTGGGTGGCTCTATACCTGTGCGGCACTGATTGGACTCAGGGAGGGGTGAAAAGAGGAACACCAAGTGGGGAGGAAGATATGGCAGGGAAGGTGGTCTAGAAGGGGTGTGAAGGGAATTAGGAGGCCTTCTCTGACCAAAACACATTGTATGAAAGCCTCAAAGAATAAATTGGAAGGAAAAAGACGATAACTGAGGAAAGACGCCTGATGTCAACCTCTGACCTCCACAAGCATGTGTATGATTACCTGCACACACAGGTGACACGCACGCACACACGCACACACAAACAATCATCCCACAAGTTTGAAGCTGGGTACCTGGGAAACAAAACAAAACAAAAGGCATCATGGGCCAGAACTAACCTAGCAGAAGAAACAGCAGGTTTTTAGAGGATGCTGACGGGCGTTGAGTCTGATGGTCCGGAAAGAGCACAGTCCTCGGTCAGAAATACAAGCAGAGTCAGGAGAGGTGGAGGCAGGAGGATGGGGAATTGAAGGTCATCCTTAGCTACACGTGAATCAAAGACAACCCAAGACCCTGTCTTAAAGGAATTAGAACATCCAAAGAGTTAGCCTGGACACTGGGGAAAGTCTGCCTTAGCATCCCTGTGCCTTCTATAGAGTTAAGTTGATCTAGCCTAAAAGGACAGAGGGAGTGTTTGTGTTTCTCTAGTGTTTACCAAGGGACTGTCACACACACAGTGACAGTGAAGAGCAGCTTCTGACTGAATCCAGTGCTAGAATGGAAAATA